GGCTATGGAGAAGACCATACACCAATACTACTCGGATCTCTTCGCTAGCCATGTCCTCTTACCGTCATATAAATTGAAAGAGGACGAATATGTCGTCCCACCGGTCCTCGCTTCCGAAATCCGACATGCTATATCGTCGGTGAAGAACAAAACAACACCCAGTCTAGACAGGATTAGACCAGAACACTTGAAGAACCTGTCGCCAGTTCTCATCAATACCCTGGCTCGGCTCTTCACTCGCTACCTGTCAGAATGCAAGGTTCCTATTCAATGGAAAACCAGCAAGACCGTACTGTTGTTCAAAAAGGGAATTCTTCACGACATAGGAAATTATATCCCAACTACTTGCCGTCCGTTGTTAATAAAATCTTTACTCGAGTCATCCTAAACAGGACTGACAGAACACTGGACGAAGTACAGAAATGCGAACAAGCAGGGTTCCGAAAAGGATTCAGTACCTAGACCATATCCTCACGATTACAAGACTCACTGAAGTTTCAGGAGAGTACAAACAACCACTCTGTCTCACTTTCATGGATCTAAAGAAAGCCTTTGATTCAGTGGAAACAGAAGCGTTTAATCAGGGCGTACCTACTCGGTACATAATGATCCTTCGTGAGCTTTATAAAGATTTCACGATCAAAATATCTCCATTCTACAACAATATCACCATTGACGTAAGAAGAGGGATTTGACAAGGCGATACATTTCGCCAAAACTATTCACTGCCACCCTACAAAACGTCATGCGAACATTAGAACGGGACGAAATGGGAGTGAAAATTGACGGTCGACAATTAAACCATCTTCGCTTTGCTGATGATATCGTTCTCATAGCACCAAACATCAGCCAAACGGAACGAATGTTGACCGATTTCGATAGCGCCTGTGGGAAGATTGGTCTTCAAGTGAATCTAGCGGTAACAATGTTCATGAGGAACGGATGAGTTTCTAATGCCCCATTCACGCTCAACGGAACGACAATCTCCGGATGCTCCAGTTACGTTTATCTAGGTCGCGAAATCAACATGATGAACGACCTAGCTCCAGAGTTGAGCAGGAGGAAACGAGCGGCTTGGGGAACGTTTAAGAGCATCGAAGATGTAGTGAAGAGGACAAAGAACATTTGACTCCGTGCCCACCTTTTCCACTCGACGATTAACCCTGCCCTAACGTATGCAGCAGACACCTGGTCGCTACGTAAGCAGGATGAAAGATCACTTGGCGTTATCGAACGCGCAGTCAAAAGGTCGATGCAAAGAATATCCCCTATCTCGCAAATGAGAGAAAGGATCCGAAGATCCGACCTACGTCAACGATCGAAAATCAGAGACGCCGTTTTACACGCCAGGATATCGAAAATAAGGTGGGCTGGACACGTGATGCGCTTCAATCACAACCGATGGACGAGAGCCGTTACCGACTAAATTCCCCGGAACGTCAAGCGCTCTGAAGGAAGACCACTGACCCGTTGATCCGATTTCTTCACGATAGCGATAGAAGAGAGATATGATGCTCAGCGAATCCCTAGAGCGAGGAGGGCCCACTGGGCTACTCTTGCACGTGATAGGGAAAAATGGAAGAGTTGCTGGTACCCGCTCGAGTCATTCGACGATCAAAGGGACGACAGGTGATACAGGTGGTAGTCACCGGCGACTATAAGTGGATCACATTTTTGTGAATTTAGACCGCAAACGATCATGGTCCAACCCCGAACAACCAACAAGATCGACTGCAAAAGAGAATATTCACGGAAGGAGCGCTAGATGTTCATTTAGTGGGATCAGAAAGGCGACCTCTTCTGCGACCTCTTCTGCGACCTCTTGATATCTGGTGAAGCACCTAACGCAATAGTTTATTAACAACAAGTAATCAAATCATACCACGAACTGCAAATAAAACGATTGAAATGGGCCGTAAGACACGACAAGAATGATTTCGCTGCATAATAACGCTTATCATGTTACAAAACTCATCGAAAATGTCATAAAAAAGCTGAGGTGAGAGATTTTAGGTCTTACCTTACTCGTCGTACTCTTCCGACATCGCAGCGTCACAAAAACCACCTGAAATTACCAAATTCGAATTACAAACTATCAAATAAAATAGATTTTGCCAGATCTTGCCAATTTTATTTACCAAACTCTCTTCGATGGCGTTCACAAATTACCCAAAAATTGGGAAAATGTTAATGTTGATGACGGCAATTATATTTGAATAAACTTGAGTATAATTATACTTTTTATTTCGAGTGTTTTATTTAGATCTTGCTCAAAATTCAAAATACTCGTAATTATTATGTGAGCCAACATGTCATATGGTCAGTTAATGGGCTCTTTGACAGCCCGATATAAGTGTTCCGACGTGACCTCTTCATAGCTTACCTCTTTACGGGTAAGGAGGGACTCCACAGAGAATTACGAAGGGTTCTGCCTGACTGACGAGACTGTCGTGGTCGAAACACGTGTATCGCGTTGTATAAGAGCCCATTAAGAGACCACATGACATATTTGAATAATTTTTATGAAATATATTGAAATTTTAGCGTGGTCTTAATGAAACACTCAAAATTAAAGGTAAAATGTCAAGAAAATACCAGCCAAGAACAACTGAATGTTGAATATGGCCGATTTTTTGATTTTTCACTTGACGGCGCTTTTTGACGATTTTTCACTTTTTGCATACATTTGTCTCACAGATTTTTGCAGAATTCTCTCTTCTTGACAAAACCCAAAACCTTTACAACAAATTGTTCGAATTCTTTATTTTTTCCTGAAGTGTTATGACGTTATAAATATACATTAGAGAGTATTAAGACGTACTCAAAGCATCTGATATCAGCTGGGATTTGAACACTCACGTTTCATTCTTACCCGGGATTCGTAGTATCACTACACCACAGATGTCGGCGCTTTGCTCACTCCTTCTTCCATTCATCAATCGTAGCTGTGGCATGGTTGGGTAAGCCCATAGAAGCAATCAAACCTAGTTAGATAAGTTGAAATAATGAACCCAATCAGATTACACATTTCGGTACTATTGTATTATAGCGGCGTCAATTGAGGCCTTTGGTAAAATCGTATTTTTTGCTTTTGCAAAACGTTTCTATAGCTTATCGGTAACTCAAATCAAGTGGATTTCAATGGCATATTTAATTTCTCAAATAGCTTGTTTTTGTAGCCGTACCAGTCAAAATAAGATTTTGATTTAATTAGAAGATTTCTCACTGGATAAAGGTTCTGTTGTAATGAACATTAATTAGATAGAGAAAATCTTTCCCATTGTAATGGTATATTTGGCTTTCGAAAAGGATTTCTTCAAACTTTGTAAAGACCCAAAGAATATTGTGTTTCACACACAATGAGAACTTCTAGTTGGCTAGGATGCGTGTACAGCTGTACTAAGAAGTTCTTTCTAGGAAGCAAACTCGTTTTCTTATTGGAAAAGATTTGCTCTATCTAACGGATGAAATTTTGTCATAAAAAGTTTTTATCAGTCGAGTGATCTTCAAATATGAAACAGAATCTCATTTTGACTGGTACGGCGTCAAAAACAACCAATATGTGAAATAAAATATACCCTTAAAAGCACTTGATTTAAGCTATCAGATAACCACACATTCGTCAGATAACAGCAAAGAATACACTTTTACCGCAGGCCTCAAGTGATGCCTCCTTAATAGAACAGTACCAACATTTCGAGTAGCTATGAGCTTCACTGGGTTTGACGACGATATGTGAAGCACGTTAAAAGTTGCTTGCTTACAAATACGACAGGATATATCAAAGAACGAAAGGTAGCAAGGCGGTGACCTCGGTGGTGAAGTGATAGCACATGCCTTCGGTATGAACGAAACACGAGTTCAAATTTTGCCTGAAGTCGACTGTTTTGCATACCACCCCATACCCTCAGATGAGTATTTATCACTCATGCTAATGTTTTACATTCGCAAGAAAAGTCAGTCATTGCGTATGTGAAATATTCTGTAGTATAGATGCTGTGGTTGGGAGGAAAAGGAGGAAGGAAATCGCTACATTTGGCACGGCAAAAGCCATCTCATGACTAAGAACAGCCACTGAGGCAGACCAGATTGAGAAAAATTAGTTAAGGAACGAACCCTTGACGTTCATTATCCCTGAAAGATGTGTCATGCATCCGACTCCATCGGCATTGGTTGAGATGACTTGATACGTGTCTGGCTTTAACAATGTCTCGTGGTGACCTATAGATGTACAGTCAGTGCTGCCACACTCCGAGCCGAACCTGGTGCTAATTCACCCGACCCAGCAGATGGAGGATTCGGTAAGCTTGAGGCGCTGTATTGAACGAACGACCACATGTTTGACGCACTGACCACGAACCATTGCACCGGTAGAAGACCCCATAAATAAAACAGTGAAATGCTAAGTCGGAGTCTGGAATGTGGAAAGAATACTCTGAATTTCTTTCTATAACGAATGATGTAAGCATCGCTACAGAAAGTTGCCTAGGAAGCTATAGACTAAGAAACTCTGAAGGAATTATAAAATTTTCATCCAACGCATCGCGTAACCAGTTGGTTCTGACCGTTTGTATGATGGTTTAAGCAGAACGCAGGTTTGCATTATATGTCCCAATGGTGGAATTGAATTAGTAATTAGTTCTTAGACAGTATTTCACATTTCTTTCAAGACATGCGATGATGATACATAGGCGAAACGAGTGGGCCACTTTGTGTCCACATGAAAGAACACCTAGATGTTAATCCGCAATGTCGAATCAACACTTTTCAGGTACTCGTAAGGTAGAAAAGCATAAAACTGACAATTTGTTATCTTAGTGAGACTGCTGAAGACCGAGTCAAAAACGTTGACCCCGAAAGCCCTTGAAGATCTCTGGGAAAATTTGAAAACCGATAGAAAGGGAGAGTAATACTCAAGATATCCTATTTTTTTACTGCTTTTTCGCAGTTTTACGTCGTTTCAATTATACCTAACAGAACACAAAGGTGAGCGAAGATATAGCCTCAAACGGGAGTTGAACCGGCGTTTCACCCATACCGCGGCCACGTGCTACCACTACACCACCGAGGCACCGTTTCGCAACCACTCATTCTTCATTGGCTATATTATAGCTATCAGCCGCCAACCTGCAACAGATTTGGTCGGATAAGCATAAGTTTTATAGACCCAGTCAAGTTTCATGGAGACAATGAAGACTGAGCGATAGGAAAATGGTCCTTGGTGGTGTAATGGTAGCATGCACCAAATGGTCCTTGGTGGTGCAATGGTAGCACGCACCCCCGATATGAGTGAAACGCGATTGCAAATAACGTCTGAGGTCAAATTCTCTTACCTCTAAATTATCTTGGGAAGGAAGAGTCATTGCACCTTATCTCAGGTTCAACTTCATTCATGAATAAGGTTAATTTATCATAGTTCATAATAGCATAACGGTGACATTTTTCGTATAAGAATTTGAAAGGTAGGTTTTCCTTGAGAGATGGGCATTTTCTTGGTTTTATTGCATTAGATTTTGGCTAGATCGAAGTATGAAACTCTCGGCGTTTATCAATGCTTGAGGGATGCAGCATTCATTGCTATTTGCCTGGCGCCGTTCGAGGTGAATGAATGCATGTCTGGCCTTTGCAATGACTTGCGATGGCCTACCGCTGTATCGAATCAGTGCTCTTAATTCTCGCATTAAAATCTGATGCCAATTTACCGACTCCGGGGGGTTGGATCGCTTGGTGAGCCTTGGGCGCGAGATCGAAACACTGCCTTTGTCTGTGACTTAGAACACTTCAGAGCACTGCGCTACATGCGCTCTTTTCACTAGATAAAGGAGAGTATCACTTTTATAAATGGGTATCTATAGCGTCATCGTATCATATCTCTTACGTCACGAATCTGGTGTGATCTGTTTGTCAAGTTTTTTTTTTCAGCCATTTATCCAAACGTTTCACGAGTCCATTTGATCGTTTTCCTGTTTTTCAAGCTAAAATATAGGGCAACAATCCCCAGAATTAAGTTCAGCGCTATAGTGACTGCTGATTCCTAAAGAAATACTTCACTAGAATTTTATCAGTCATTAGATAGCTCAGATCTCGAGGATCTTGGTGATTAAGTTAGTTTTTTGGAAGTTTAACAAAGAACGCTGTTACCCCGCCGCTTAGACGTTGTAGGTGGTTTATTGGTAATTATAGGTAAAGTTTATATGTTAGGGGAATCTTACCGTTACGCAAAGGATGCAATATCACGAATGAACCTTTTACGAAGATTTTTTAATACAAGGGTGATGAGTTTTCTTGAAATCCTTCATTTTTCAACAGTAAACCACGATCTTGTACACAAATAAACGATCTTCGAACCCCAATTGTGCATCTGTATCGCCTGTATTGCGAGTACGTGACTTTGAAGCACATCTTTTACAATCAAATTTACAATTTTTCTTATTGGGGTCTATGTGGAGGTAATGCTCGAGTAAGTTTAGGAAGAGCGCGCGCTCATCATTCCGTAGGTACGGTACTTCTCCTATCAGCAACCATATAAAAAAAAACGTTTTTTTTGGCTCGGTAGCTCAAGTTTTGAAAACTTGAAAGATGCTTTTGTTTTTTGAAAATTCTTTATATTGCACTCTAACAGTGAAAAGAAAATCTTATCTAACACTCAGTCATCTTTTGATGGACAAAGCTTTTCCTCAGAAAATTCAGCAATTCTTCAATAACACAAATCTCGATAAATTTAATGCCGCCTTTGGTTTTCCAAAAATTCTGTTTGTTGCACTGCATCACTGAAATTAAAATTGCATTTCACATGCGACGCGTACGCCTTCCACCGGTATGTGCTTGTGTACTGCAACATTGGCATTAAAACGTTGTCGTTCAGTAACCAGTCGGTGGATCAAATCCTGGGGATTTCAATAGTGCGCTCGCCTTTTGAAAAATTCTCTGTACGAGCTGTAGCAACAAGGATAAAGCTGTGTTGCACGTCTGAGTATTTTTTGCTAGACACGGCATTTCGTTCAGGCTTTCAAACCCATTCAATAGCGCAAATCTTAACAGATTCAAGGATATGCTTAGTTTCTGAGGAAGATTCCTTTACGAGTCGTTAGAGCTAAAAGAGTATTGGGTTTTACACTAGGCGTGCACCGAAAGCCACATGTAAATTGCGCTACACGATCGACACGGCGCCCAGTGTGAAACTCAATAATCTTTTAGTTGTAAAAACGCATTGAAACGTCTTTCTCAAAAACGAAGCGTATCACTGAATTCGTTGAGAATTGTGCTAGCCAATGGTTATTGAAAGTCTGAATGAAAACCTCTGTCCAAACAAAGATGCCTGAGTGTGAAAGAAAATTTGGTAATTCTATGTTAGACGGCGAATTATATTTAGGCCGATCTCATTCGCTGGTCAAGAATCCTTCCACAAATCCTTAGCTACAACTGCACGTCGCCGGTTTTTCAAAACACCTCTTTATGATGCTGTAGCATCCAGAATAGAATTTCGTTTCTCACTCTCCTTTTGTTCTCATTTTTATCATGAGTATAAGTCGCTGGAAGCACGAAAAGCATATCAGTGTGTAGGGAATTTTCCGTAGTATCAGAGTCTACGTTTTCATCTAGAGTTTTTGATGATGCGGTGAAAAAATCCTCAATAAAATAGCAGTATTTGCCGCTCGAGATACGCGGTAGATCAGGTCATAATGACAAGTCGTCGATGTGGTTTCTCTTCACATTTTACTCAGCTGTGAACCTTTCCAGCGACTTTGCTTACCGACCAACTCATGGAGCTGGAAGGGGAGGGGGGGAGGGGGGTGGGGAAAGACCTTTCGCGTCTGAAATATTGTTATCCAATGGGGAATTTCTCTGCCACATCGAGATAAATTTTAGGTAAAAACGTAGACTCTGATGCAACCAAAAATTTTGTATCATTGGTAAGAAAAAAAAAGAAGACGAAAGCGAGTAAGAAGCATGACTTCATTTCGGATGTTATAGCCTTATAAAAGGCTTTTATAAAAAGTCGGCGACGGGGAGTTGTAGCTTGAGATTTAGGCTATCGAATGATTACTAATATTCAGTGAAAAGATCCTGTCCAGCGAATGAGATCGGCTTAATATCGGTTGCCGTCTAACATAAAAGTACCGAAATTTTTACTTCACCGTAACTGTAGAATATAGGAAACTATTTGAAGAAAATAACGCACTCTTCAGGTTCTCGATAATCAAACTGTCAAGTGATTGCTAAAACCTCAAAAAAGAGTAAAAATACCTTTTTTGAATTGCGCGGATAGGGGAAGGTATTGGAAATAGTTCTCTGGAGACCCATAGTTCCGACCAATAGTTGCAATAATGCCTATGCTCTAAGCCTTATACTCAAACACGATTGTCCTTACGGCCCAGAATTTTTCCACTTCTCAATCATTCGTTTATTTCCAATTATTCAGAGCTGACTTAAGTGAAAAGGTTCAATACTTATGGATAGTTGAGTAATAGTATTGGTTTTCGATGAACAGGTATCGAATACAGCATGCGTAAATATCTTTGATACATTACTAGCTGTTCTCCAATTTTACTCACTATGAATACTCCTGAGTCTTTTGTATTGCTAGCGAAGAGCAAAATTAAAGATTTTTCTTGTAATCCCCTTTGTACATTGCCATACAAGTGATTGAATGCCAAATTCAGTACTTAAACTAGGATTTTTCTCCACAGAAGTTACCTGTATCACCTGTATCACCTGTCGTCGCGTTAATCGTCGAGTGACACGAGCGGACACCAGCAACACTTCCATTTTCCCTATCGTGTGCAAGAGTAGCCCAGTGGGTCCTAATCGCTCAAGGGATTCGCTGAGCATCATATCCTTCTTCTATAGCTTTCGTTAAGAAATCAGACCAACGGGTCGGTGGTGTTCCTGTAGAGTGTTTGATGTTCCGAGAAATTCAGTCGGTAACGGCTCTCGTCCATCGGTTGTCGTTGAAGCGCATCACGTGTCCGGCCCACCTTATTTTCGATATCCTGGCGTGTAGAACGGCGTCTCTGATTTGCGATTGTTGAAGTAGGTCGGAACTTTGGATCCTTTCTCTCATTTGCGAGATACGGGATATTCTTAGCATCGACCTTTCGACTGCGCGTTCAATAACGCCAAGTGATCTTTCGTCCTGCTTACGTAGCGACCAGGTGTCGTTAATCGTCGAGTGGAAAAGGTGGGCACGGAGTCGGGTGTTCCTAGCACTCTTCACTACAGATTCGATTCTCTTAAACGTTCCCGAAGCCGCTCGTTTCCTCCTGCTCAGCTCTGAAGTTAGGTCGTTCATCATGATGAATTCACGACTCAGATAAACGTAACTGGAGCATTCAGAAATGTTCGTTTCGTTGAGCGTGAATGGGGCGTTCAAAACCCAAGGAATCCCCATGAACATCGTTTTCGTTAAACTTAGTTGAGGACCTATCATTCCACAGGCGATATCGAAATGGGTCAACATTCGTTCCGCTTGGCTGATGTTTGTGTTATGAGAACGATATCGTCAGCAAAGCGAAAATGGTTTTGTCAATTTTCGACCGTCATTTTTCACTCCCATATCGTACCATTCTAATGTTCGCATGATGTTTTGTAGGGTGGCAGTGAATAGTTTTGGCGAAATGTATCGCCTTGTCAAACCCCTCTTCTTACGTCAATGGTGATATTGTTGTAGAATGGAGATATTTTGGTCGTGAAATCTTTATAAAGCTCACGAAGGATCATTATGTACCGAGTAGGTACGCCCTGGTTATCCAGAACCTCTATAACCGCGTCTGTTTCACTGAATCGAAGGCTTTCTTCAGATCGATGGAAGAGACAGAGTGGTTGTTTGTACTCTCGTGAAACTTCAATGAGTCTTGTAATCGTGTGAATGTGGTCGATGGTACTAAGTCCTTTTCAGAACCCTGCCTGTTCGCATGACTGTCCTTCGTCCCGTATTCTATCAATCCTGTTTAGCATGACTCGAGTAAAGATTTTATTAACAGCGGACGGCAAGTAGTTGGGATATAATTTCCTTTGTCGTGAAGATTTCCCTTTCTGAACAACAATACGGTCTTGCTCGTTTTCCATTGA